GCAGCGTGCAGCAGGGGACGAAGGCTGGCAGGCAGCGTGGAGCAAGAGATGAAAGCAGGCAGCGTGGAGCAGGGGACGAAGGCGGGCAGAGTGGAGCAAGGGACGAAGGCAGGCAGGCAGCGTGGAGCAGGGGACGAAGGCAGGCAGGCAGCATGGAGGTGGGGAGTGCAGCGCTGGGAAATGGAGAGCTGAAGAGAACAAAAGCCCGGAAGGAGGTGAGTGTTGACAATGAACCAGTAGTGAACAATCGGGAAAGGGGGTGCATATGTAGGAGACTGAACTGGGATATAACGAGTGGCAGGTGGATGAAATGATGGCTGACTGTGCTGGCTAAGAACACGACAGGAGAGGCAGAGGAAAAAACAACAGAAAACCAGAAAGTGAGGTCCAAACCATGACAGTAACACTCTAAACAAAGCCGGTAGTTGTGAAAGCCAATATTTTAACTGGCATAATGCAGACATAGTAACTTCTCCAGCCTTACAACAATTCTTTCTAACCTTACAGAAACAACACATTAACAGACATGCAATGTGTGTTTTTTAAACTTTCCATTCAGTAGTGGAAACATCACTCCCTTTCAAGTAGCTGCTTGTACAGTAGGTTAGACCCAATCAGGTAACACAGCGAATCCCTGTACAGGAACATTCCCGGACATTCAGTAACCTCAGGCCCTGTATTTTTCTCTGCATCCTTTGTTCACAGTGCAGGCAGCAGGAGGGTAAATATATCCACAAAAACAGGTGCAGTCAAAAAATTTTGCTTTTACCATGGTACTGGTGGATGTAGTTAGTTTGTTGTTGTTAGTTTTTTTTTTATATAAGCTTTATTGAAAACATACCTAAAAAACAGGGCAGTATAACATTTTGCCAATTTGGTGGGGACACCGGTGGTTGTCAGGCAAGCTCACATGACCGTGCAAGGGGCTGGAATTTATGCAATTCAAGGAGATCCTTAAACTATCCCGTAGTACTATATTTCAGTAAAAAAAAAATTCTAGCAAGTGAGAGTTTGCAAGATGTGTATAAACCAAGTTACGTCTGCACAGAAATACTAGAACAAATGTTCACCTCATTTTTTCAGCTTTAAGTCACATCTAAGATGATAATTCACCATTGTAACATTGTAAATAAGTCAAAAAACAAGGAAAAGAATGCCACGAGCCCTTTAAGGTATTAACAAGTTTGCATTAAGCCACAATTTCACATATAGATACTATACATAAATACATTATATTGCACCTTATAATCTATAGCATACAGTAAGTATTTATTGTTATAGTTGAAGTTTGATTTATTCCACTTTATGTGCCCTGTACAATATGATGTCATGATTTTTTTTCAGCCATGTTCATTTTGGCCTTGTCTCCTGCCACTCTCCATCTGCCCATGAAACGTCCTTGTACTATTGTACCTGTCTTAGTCACCTGACACCGTACCCACCTGCTCACCTGTCTTGCATTCCACAGTCACCCAGTCCTAACTTTCACACCCAGTTCCCAGTTTCCTATCCCTAAATCTGTTTCAGTTACAGTCTGTATTATATACCCTAGACTGTGAGTGCTTCATGTTTTCAAACTCCACTGCTCTTGCACGCCTACCTGCAACCTGTTCCTGAGCCCCTTCCTGCACCTGCTCACCTACCTGTCTATAAGCTTTTGTATTCACTGTATTTTATAGAAAAAAACCCCACCTCACTGCATCTGCCTGTCTATGTGTCTTCATTTGTGTCCTCACAGCTGATTTACACAGAGACATATGTCTTGTGTTTGGTAAGGTGGAGGGGCTGTGTCTTTATGTCTCCAATTTTCATGTACTGTATGTGTGTCATGCTGCCTCTGGTATGTCACCTTAACCCTTGATGTCCCCTAAATATAGCCTAACAGGAGGCCCACCCCCAAGCTGCAGCATACCAGGAAGGCTGTGTGGTTTCTTGGTAGCATTCAGAAGAGTGCATTGAGTTTGTCCCAGTGCATTCCTCATTGCCACAGAAAATCCTTCTTGTGTGGCTCCTTGTTTAGAGTTCTACATTTGGGCAGCTTGGTTTAAATGTGTAGATAATCATATGCCATGTTTGTTATTAAGAGTGAGTGGGATATACAGGAGTGTGCTTGACTGTGTTATGGATTTTGACTTGAATAAAAAAATGGAAGAAAAGCATTTAGCTTGTTAAATTCACAATCTAAAATAATGGCTATATAGCTACTCAAGTAAACCATTTAATTAAATAATCAAAGATCAAAGATTTTTATTGTCAATTCACTATATGTGCAGGACATAGAGAAAAATCAAAATACTGTTTCTCTCTTACCTACATCTCTCACCTAGTATTGAATGCCCATACCATTTAAGAAACTAAAATAGAATAAAAGTAGAATAAGCAGAATATGAAAACTGAATAAAGTAATAGGATAAACTAGATGGTACAACCTAACAGGCTGTGATGAAACTCAAAGCCATGTGCAAACAGTGACAGTAGTGCAAATGCTAACGAGAAGATTGTCAGGTGGTCAGCATCACCAGGCGTGTTGGTGATGGGATGTATAATAGCTTATGACATGTACATGGACAGCAGTGCAAATGACCAACAGCAGCAGATATGACGTAAAAAACAGTCAGCAGAAGATTCATATATAATATGACAAAAAGGGGGAATGTACTGAGTTTCACGATAAACGTATTCATTATATCCCTTATATGAAAATGATCAACGTCCTATAATAGAATCTCAATACAGAATCCCAATATACAAAGGACCCACATGGAAGTCTTTTTCTATGGGCCACACTTACTGTATGCCCC